GATAGATGCCACGTGAAGTAGACCGGCACGTGAACCACAGAGGGGTGAGTCGGACCTAGATGCAAAAATAAAATGGCCTCGACAGATGGAGGTAAGAAGAATCAAGAGTCATGACGAATTGGCAATCAGTAGAGTAGGCCGACGGCGACAATGGCGACGATGAGACCGGCAGCGGCACTGCTACCGCGTCGAGCACCTTCGTTCTCGTCGGATTTGGTGGGCTTGGCCTGCTGCGTTTCAGGCGCAGGGGCCACGTCGACGCGGCTGGTGGCGAGGCTCACGGGAGCCGAAGACTCGGACCACGACGAGGAGAGGGACGACGTGGAGTTGTCTTCGTTCTCGTGGAAAATACCGGGGTTGATCGAGGGGCGGGGCACTTCGGAAGACGTCTCGATTTCCCTCTCGGAAGAGGTTTCCTTGATGAGGCTCGACGTAGTGAGCTCCTCGGTCGTAGGCTCTGGAGTGGGAGTCGGTGTCGGTGTGGGCGTCGGCGTCGGGGTAGGTGTGGGGGTCGGAGTAGGCACAGGTGTGGTCTCAGGCTCCTTCTTCTTCTCTTCCTCCTTGTCGTCGTCCTTGTCATCCTCATCGTCCTTGTCATCCTCATCGTCCTTGTCATCGTCCTTTTCGTCGTCTTCGTCGTCGTCGTCACTGTCCCCACCAGATCCGCCGATGGGGTAGACGACAATGTTGGCCTTGGAACCCTTGGGTACGGTGACGACGCAGAACTGAGAGCCGCCGGCGCCGGTGCCAGCGTTGTTGCTGGTGACCTCCCCTGAGCCACTCTGGGAGGGGTCGATGGAGCAGGGCGTGCCGTTGCAGCCACCATCGGGACACTCAATCTTAACGGCGTAGCTAGGCATGGTGTTCTTCATGTTTGTTTCTTCCCATTTGGGGTTGTACCCGAGGGTGACAAAGGTCTGACCCTTGGCATCCTGGTTGGCGCCAGCGACGTAGGTGGCCCAGTTGCCAATGTTCTTGGATTCGTCCCCCCAGATGCAGCCCTCTTCTTGGACGCCAGGCGGGTTGACATAGAAGCTGGTCCACGTGTCAGTCATGGCATCCCATGAGAGGAATGGGGTGGCACGTGTCACTCACTGCGCGCTTGTGGAGCACCAGTAGCTCGGGTCAGGCACGGCGAGGGTGGCTGACTTGTCGACAACGGTGGGACTCAGCATGGCCTCGTTGCCAGGGAGGATGGTCTGGCAGAAGGAGAGCGGCTTGCCGCACTCGTTGACAGCCGTGATGGTGCCAGCTCCGTCGACGCAGTAAGGCGAGTCCTCAAAGGGCTTCTCGGGCTCGCCGTTGGAGCCGCAGTACAATCCGCCGTTCTGTCATGACGTTGTGAGCATGGGTGCTGCCTTCATTCCACAGCGAGGGGCGGGAGAAGACGAAACACACACGGAGAGAAGAAAAAAACGCCCCATGAGCAACATACCATGGAAGAGGGATAGGTGAAGGAGGAGCCGGGCTCCCACTGGGCCATGACCTTGCCCGACTTGCAGGCAATGGGGCAGTAGCTGCCTTCGACACATTCCTGGTCGGGGCTCATGGCGAAGCCACTGTTCTTAGCGCCGGGGACCTTGACGAGATCAGGATGGCTCGGCAGAGAGCAGAGGGCCTTGCCCTGGGAATTCCGTCGAACGATGCTGCTGCGACCGAGGATCTGGTTCTCGGCGAGGTTGTGGTTGTGAGAGTGGTTGAGGCGACGGACAGCGTGGGCGCGTTGGTGGGCGCCGTGACCGTGGGCCTGGGCCTCGCCCTGGGAGACCCAGAGAAGGAGGGCAGCAGCCTGCCACTGCTGCAACAGCTTCATCGTGGTGGGCTGTTGGATGTCGGGACTTGCGATCGTCGTGTCTGGTCGTCGATCCTCTGGAGGGGAGATTGGTAACGAGCGTGATGATGTGCGATGTGCTGCGTCGCGTGGCGCGCTAGAAGGAACGTTGTGTGTCGTGTGTCGACGTGTGGTAATGCTATGACATTGAGAGAAGTAGCATAAAGGTCGACTCGGTCGAGATGAGCAAAAAGGTGTGCGCGTGGGCGTGTAAAAGATCGTGAATGTTCGCAAGGAACGATGGGAGCCAGCGGCCCAATAATAATAATAAAAAAAAAAGAATGCAGTGAAACGATCAGGGAGGGTGAGGGAGCAGAGTCGAGCAGCGAGCACGGTCAACGAGGACAGAAAAGAGTGTGTGGAGTTGAGGGTGAGAAGAGAAACCTGGAAAACGACGAGGGGGGGGGGGGGGGGGGGGTATTGTTTTTTTAATACCAAACGTCTCTTTGAAAGCAATAACACTTACTTTTTTGGTGTTTTTATTATTTTTTTTTTTTCTTTTTTTTTTTTG